GTTCCAGTGGGTGGTGGGAGTCAAAACGTAAATATTGGTCTGTGTGGGTGGGCTTACGATATACGCCAGTTTCCAACCGTCCTCCATCCGAATATGGATCCCTATATGTTTCTTTACATCTGATTAAAATTTGAAGTCAATCCAGTTTAAAATAACCAACACAGATTATAGCCAACACGTGTTTATGACTCAGTTAATTTTGCAGATACTGAGCTAAAATTTAGTAGAGCCRAATCATTCGCAACACTCAGAGTGAGATTGTACAAAATGYTCATTTCAAGGGTTGAGCAAAGTGGCTACAATGYTTTCATTTCTCTTTATAAKATGATCTTAGTTTAAACTTTTTATGAAATGTGGTGGGACAAATGCATTCATTTGAAGAATAGAAAGTCTTAAATTGTGTATTGTTTTGCAATTTCAAAGTCGCATTGATGCCAAAGTGAAAAAATAGATGACATAACTTTACTTACATGTTTTGTTTTCTGTGTAAAAATCTAAATGTTTTTAGACTCTGCAGAAAACTTTCACAAACTAATCAATTTTCACAACTTTTACTGTTTTAAATGTAGCGAAAACAAGAAGGATCAAACACAACAAGTTAGTGGATATAATCCCTGAAATTAATGTGTTCAAGTGTGAATAATAAAGTTAATGACTTACCAATAATCAGAGARCATGCAGAAAAAACGACGTCTGCATGCATGTCTGCAACCCAGCTCTGCCAGAACAGACAGGGAAGGATGACAAAAGGGGCAAACAAGGGGAAGTTGGCTTCTTTAATTGTGTCACCATGGTCTGTCAAACATCTGAAACATTTGCTTTTTAATGGTTTGTGTTTGTTTATTTCATTCATCTTTTTTATCCTGTAGCCTATCTTAATTCTTTTAAAATGTTGATTTTAAACTTTAAACGTGATGAAAGCTCTTAAAGATTTTGCAAATGGAAAAATTCGATGAAATCATTTGTTAAGGAAAGAAAGACATCAGCAAGACATCACATGACAGCGAGTCATTCTCATGCTGCGGCTCATTTCCTCAAAGGCTCCGAATAGGGATTTTTTTTCTTTGTCTCCAACATCAGCTTAATTTAAACCTCTGATGTTGTAGTAAAACAGCAGAAAAACAAAACAGCAGTAAAAGCTAAAAAAAGTCAAATAAAACAGATTAATGGCTAACTTGTCTGAACATWTTCATGTATTTAAACGACTAGAGTTGTGTACAGAAAGGTGGACCAATGAGAAAACTGTTATTGAAACCACTTTATTTGAACTAACCTTAGCCTTGAAGTACAGCAATTAACCATTAACTAGCTGCTTATTAGCTTGCTCGTTAGCAGCATGCTAACATTAAATTGGTTATACTTGAAATGATTTGTTCAAATATGCTAGATTTTTCAAGCAAGATATTTTCTGTCTCAGTTATATTAACCAAGTTTGGTCTATGCGTGTAGCAAAAATACTTAACTGGAACCAWTAACAGTGACCTTTTATGAGTTCAAATTTTCCAGATCTGTTCCCCAATTTCAGCCACATTTTATTTATAACTAATTTAGCAGCAATTTGCTTTATGTTCAGTATGTTTCCTTGTACCACAGTCAGTGTAATATTATATTTGTTCTGGATATTTATCTGTTTAATATACTTTTCTAATAACTGCATATATTTACTTCCATTTCAAATATACATCTATTTCCCTCTTTTTTATCCTTTTTTTGTGAGTAATAAACACCTAGAGTGAGAGATCAAACTAAAAACTGCAGGAACAAAAGTTGAACCATGAACCCTGGGACACGTTGTTTGAACTTTGGCCATCATGTGACACAAGAGAAAGAAGCTGCTTCTGCTCCAACATTCAGGACGTTTTAGGGAATATCAGACAAAACTAAAAGCAAATATGGATGTAAAGATTTAATTTCAGGTTGTGGTAAGTTTTTTAAAATGATTTTGCATGTGCTTTATTTGCAGAAAACCTGTTTCTTGTTCGGTTTACATCTTGAACTGACTTTGCTTATCGTGGCAGTTTGACAGCATTTTCTGAAGCCATGACCTCGGCTCAGCAGTTGCTTCGGTCTCAGAGAGAGCTGCTGCTGAACTGGACTTGCGACCATCCTGCGCCCTTGTTGCGGTGGCTGTATGATGCGGATGTGCTCTCCTCTACATGCTACCTTTCTCTACTGGAGAAATCACCCTCCAATGCTGTGGCCCAGGCTTTGGAGACAGCATGTGCATCAGAGGAAAGCAGTCAAAAGTTCCTCTCTGTGCTAAAAGAAGTGCAAGATTATTACTGCAGCGATCTGCACCTGTGGGTGAACACGCACTGCAGGTCTGAGATCGTCAGTAAACCAGCACCTGAACCAGAGAAAGTTGGAGGTGAGATTTGTCTTAAAACCATGTGAACACAGAGTTAAGAAAATGAGAACATGGTTTACAACATTCAGTGCAAAAGGTCAAGTCAGAGAGATTTTATTGCTCATTGAGAAAAGGGCATATAAAAGATTATAAACTGTAAACAACCAGATTTGATCTTGGCCAAAGAACGTTGCTGTCTTGGAAACTAAGGGCAAACTACAAAACTGTTATGGGGCACCAAGTGTAAAATAAAATATAAAAAAATGTCACTAACACATTTTCATTGTTTGTCTCACTTTTTGAGTGTAAAATCCTTGTGAAAATTTGTCCACTAACATTTTATCATTTTGTTAACAATAGATTTAGCTAATTTTTACTAAACGTTAAACATTAAATCCTATATTAAATGTAAAATTAAATATTAAATGTTGCAACTAAATGATATAGTTTACAAGAATTTCAAAATGGAACACAGCCTTTGTCGTTGGTGCACTTCTGTTGTAGTGACACCATCATTCTGCAACTAAAGCAAGCGCTAACGCTGCTGCAGAAGGGCATTTAAAATTTTAATTCATAATGTGTTGATTGAAAACAGTATGGATGGTAGCTSTGGTCCTGCAGTTTGAAGTGCAGCTCCGACACCAACTGCATGGTTGATATCTTGTAAGAAAGCGTTAGCATTAGCAGCGTAAGGAGCATATGCAGCATAAAGGTTAAATTATAAATGCGCTTTGGAGTGTACACGCGCACCTTTGCAGCAGTGGTGTTTATCCTTGGTGCTTACATTGCCAATGCACAGGGGCGAGGACAGAGCGATTTTGTCACTATTGGTGCGCACCCCCTCGCGCCTGGTGCGACGCGTCAACTATAAACCTAGCTTAAATGAGCGTTAGCAGTAGCAGCGTAAGGAGCGTTATAAGCAGCATAAGGAGAGTTAGCAGTGTAGGGAGCATTAGCAGTAGCAGTGTAAGGAGTGTTAGAAGCTTTAGCAACATTAAGTGTTAGCATCGTTAGGGTTTGCTTCTGTCTCAGGATGATGATGTCATYACRAATGCTGCATACCAAAGAMAARGCSTACTTTCCATTCTATTWAGSTACAACATTTAGGMSWACATTTAACTTTAACATTTTGATWTACACAGTTAGATTTAGGATTTAACATTTATAACATTGAACATTTAGAAAATATTAGCAAAATGTAACAGTGAGCTAAATAACAGTGTTAGTTGAAATGTTTAAACTAGGGTTTTACAYCCAGAAAGTGAGCTAAATAAATATGTTGTGCCATTTTTTAACTTTTTATTTTGGTGCCCCATAAACTGAAAGCTTAAAAGACCCTTTTAGTATCTATGTCAGGATGTGTTTGATAGTTCTGTGGTTCTTTTTCTTAACTTTTGTCATCACTGATATGATATATGAAAGTGAAACATTTACTTCTTAGTTGAAACATCTCAAAGACATGAAAACAGAATTAAATGTCAACTTTGACTTTGACGTATATAGTGTGAATTTCTCTTTGTGAGACTGACATGTAAAAACATCAATCTGGTGACAGCTAGAACCAAGAAGCCTAAAGGTCCCATTGCTAAGCTGTTCAAAGGGAAGAGCAAAGGATTCTCTCCAACTGCAAAACCTAATGGTAGGGATTCACTGTTTTATTAAAAAGTGTATGATTTCAATAGATTTTTTTAATGAATGCATCAAATAAACAATAATTTATTCAGTGTAAACATAATAAATATTTATTCTGAAGCTGTCTAAATGTTAAGATATGTTTGGGTGGCTAATTGTCTTACAGCTAATGAAGATCTGCAACCTACAAAATGTCAAAAGCTGGTCAAACTCAGAGGTGAGTGCACAGCAAAAACATAAACCAGAGAGACCTACAGATTTTTAAAAGTTAACACTGTGTCTTCACTTCCAGTTCCAATATCTGCCCATAAAACAACATTACTGAAGCGTATGGAGCAGTTAAAGTGTTACTCAGAGGGAAACCAAGTGGCTTCAAACTCTGCTTCTCACATCGAGATTCGCTACACCGACCTTTTTGTGACAGAAGATAATGACTTCACTGACAGCAGCCAGCATGAGTACTTTGACTTGGCGAGCAGACGGGCCCGCATCTATGACCACCAGTCATGCCAACGCATCAAACCAAGCCAACTGCTGAGCCCTCAGGAGACATCAGGGCAGCCACCCAAAAGGGTGAAAGTCAAGGGAATTGCTGGTATTGGAAAGAGTGTAGCAGTGCAGAGACTGGTCTACGAATGGGCCATTGGGAAGAGCATGTGTGAATTCACGTGTGTTTTTGATCTACGTTTCCGAGAGCTCAACCTCATCGAAGCGCCGCTCAGTTTATTGGAGCTGCTTGGAGAAAGGTTCAGGTATCTTGTAGACGTTCTTCCTGATCTGTTGACCACACCACACTCGTTGCTCTTCATCTTAGATGGCTTAGACGAGTTTAAGTTCTCCCTACAGTGGAACAGTCCAAATAAAATAATTGATGTAGGGTCAAAAGTGTGGGTGTCAGAGCTGATAGTTGCTTTGATTAAAGGGGATCTCTTACCAAATGCATCTGTCATCCTCACAACAAGGCCTTCTACTGAAGCCCCAAAGGGTTTCTTCCAGAGATGCTGTGTGGTGCTGGGTTTCGAAGAAAAGCAGGTTCAGGAATACACCACCAAGTTCTACAAAGACAAGGACGTGGCTGAAAGGGTCTTTGAGTATATATTAAACAATGACAATATCTTTGTGCTCTCCTTCATCCCTCTTTATTGCTACATCATCTGTACTGCTATGGCTGAGTTCTTTGCTTCAGGAACTCAAGATGTTGGTGACTTCAAGACTCTGGAGCTGAATCCTCCCAGAACAGTCAGTGAGGTTTACTTCTGCTATCTGTTAACAACAGTTAAGCACCATGTCCTGAGGGGGAGTGCAGGGAGAAGTACTCCAAGATCGGAAGTCCTTTCCTTGGCGAAGCAACAGCTAACAAACCTGGGAAAACTGGCTTATGAAAGCCTTCTACAGAGAAAAATCATGTTTGATGTAGACGATCTGAGGAGCTACGGCGTTTCACCAGCTGATGTTCAGAGCACTTTTCTGTGTCAGATCCTCCATCCTCTCAAAGAGGAGACGATAGAGATGTTTTCTTTCTTCCACTTGACTGTTCAGGAACATTTGGCTGCCCTTTACTGTGCAATCAACCTCTTCAGCCAGGAGGCCATCATTCAGGCTCTGGACTTGTGGTGCTTTGGATTGAAACCACCCTCTACCACTGCTACACCTCTGAAAGACATCAACATCAGTGTGGACAAGCTGGAGAGCCTCCAGATGTTCACACGGTTCTTTATGGGGCTTCTGCGAGCACGGCTGGAAGGACATTTGGAGGGCCTTGTTGACTTCTCAGTTGGGGAAAGCGATGCGTTCCCTGCCAGGTTGGGTTTGTGGTTCCAGGACCAATTTAAAGACAGAAAAATGACGAACCAGACAGCTTTGAATCTTCTTCACTGCCTGATGGAGTTTCACATGAAAGAGACGACCAGGATGGCAGCGCCGGAGATTAAAAAACTGAACTTGTTTAAAATGAAGCTGAGTGTTGTGGACTGTGCCGCGATGCATTATGTGTTGCAGTTTTCACCACACACACTTCTGGAGCTCAACTTAGGCTACTCCAACATTGGGAACAGAGGACTTTGGCGACTCTGGTCGATCCTACACCGCTGTGAATCTCTCTAGTGAGTTGCATGTTGCCATAAACTAAACAATTGCTGGTTGATTGGATGAAATCTGCTTCCTGGTATCGCTTGTTTGAGTTTTACAAATCTCTCCAGTGGCGTACCTTGTGTCCAACTCTTAACACAATGAATGCTATTAGACTCCCCCCAGAATTACACTTGATGTTTTACTGTTCTCTTCCAGTTTGAGGTACAACAGTCTGGACCGGCAAGCAGCAGTTTTAGAATCAGCAGTCCTGAAGTCACATGAATGCCAAGTGAAGAAGCTTTTGTAAGTCTCATTAGTATCTTTACCACTGCCTTAAAACATTAACAAAACTYACAATTTGGCAAAYTAACAAGCTCAAGATGCACAATAARYTCTTTTTGAAAAGTTGACACATCATTCTCTAAATCAGAGGTCTTCAGCATGAGGTACAGGGTTGAAAACCTTTGCTCGAAACTCATCGTAAAACTGAAAGTGTATTACCTTTGTGATGACCTCACATTAWAAAACTCTGCTGTATATCTATTATTAATTCCTCTGRCTATTGCCTCCCAGTGAGTCACMCTAATCATTTCAAGGATGATTTTAWTACTCTATCTTTRGCTATAACTGTCARTTGACTGTTAKTGATGCTGTTTGCTACGTTTGATGTTACTGACTGAGCTGATTTATCTCCTGCAGAGACTAAACTAATGTAGCCATCTCAATGATTATGTATAGATGCCTCTCCAACAAACTCCGGATTCATAAATAAAGTATAACTAATAATGTTGTCAACAGCTTTTCAAAAATGATTTAATGTTTTAAGACTTATAAGAACTTTGATGAAAAACTGTGTCTACAGCATGTGTGGAAACAACCTGGGTCCAGAGGGCGTTTTGGAGCTGTGGGACGCTTTGGAGCACAACACCACTGTTGAGGAACTCTTTCTGGACATCACTGGCATCACAGAGAAAGGGACTGAAAACATTGTCCAATGTCTGAGCAGAAACACATCTTTAAAGTTACTGACGTAAGTAAATACATTACACACAGTCGAGTATTTTTGGTGTTTGAAATGTTATAACTCTGCTTCCATCTAGTGGAAGATCAAAGATCTCACCRGCAGATTTTTRTTTTTATTTTTTCAGAATTGTTGGGAATGACATTGGAGAGGTGGGGAGGAGCMGGCTGAGGGAGCTGGGAAAACTCAGGCCAGAACTCAGGATCATAGCAAACTTTGTGGATGACCTTGGGTTACTCCAGGCATACCTGGACTGGGTGGAGGAGATCCGGGCCGACAGAGACCAGATGGACTCTGTGAAGAATGTAGAYGCCCTGCAGTCCGTTCTGAAGGGCCTCCAGGTGGCAGGAGAAAAAGTGGAGAAAGGAGAGAAAGCAAAGAAAGCCGAGGAGCTCCAGATGAAGATCCATGAGCTGCTGAAGTCCACTTCACATCTGATTGGAAGAAAATAAACTCATCATGTTTGTCTTCTCATCTAAACTCAGTAAACRAACTTGTGAAAGAGAAATTTTATTTTATGTAATTCTATTTAGTTTTCAGTTTAGGTTTAAATGAAGTGTTGTGAATGTTTCAAATTTTACTTTATCTAAACTGAATATTGGTTATGAATTGTAAAATTGGGTAATTACATTGCAACGTCATGCTTGTTGATTTATGAGTTTGAAAGGATTAGAGATGCAGATTTGTGGCAATAGATTTATTGTTATAATACTCTGAAAGAAAAGCAATCCCACTCTCCAGATAACGCTGTACAAGTATCACCTTTTATATTTGCTTTCTTCGTCATCTTGTTCTCTGATCATCTTTATTTTTATTTTTGTTGTTGTTTGTTACAACTGATGTCGTAGGACTGATTATGCAACTCTGAGTGTGCAGGTGCCTGTCGCTAATTGGACTTTGAAGACTGGAGACGACTGATTGGTGGCCTGCCGGAGATGAYGGCGAAAAGACGCTGACGTGGACTTTCTGTCATCCATCCTCTCGTCATCCCAACCGGCCACACTGTTTGCTTGTTCCTGTTATATGTTCAACAAAACCAAGGAGTTTGTAGGCGTGAACTGCAGTTTGTTTTTTCAACAATTTTTCTCCTGTTTATTTTATTTAGGGGGGTATGTTTTGGTCATTTGGTTTATGTATTTTTAATATAACTGGTGTTAATTAGATAATTTACTTTTGTCATTTTGGCATTAGCTCACTCCGAAGTCAGACACTCCCAATGTTGTAAGCATTTCATTCAAAAACACATCTCATAAATAAATACAATTTTTTAAATTCATGTCAAAACTGTGTGCTGGCTGCTTGAGGTCTGATGAGGATGCTTCATGCTGTGATCCCTTATGGACATGTCATAACGTTGTTGTTTTGCAAATTCTTTGTACTCCAAAACTTTGAACCTAAATCTAAATTATTTATTCAAGAGCGCCATGTACTTTTTTTTCTCCAGAAAACACAAACAACAAGTTTGGTTTTAATGAGCCACTTTTGTTGACTGAAGACAAATACTTCACTTCCTAAAGTTGTTTTATAACCAACACATTTTCATATAGTGTTTAGTTTAAACCAGCTCTTTATTAGACTATTGTCATTTATTCTGCTTCAAATTATTATTTTATTATTAATAATAATCAGATATTCAGTTGCAACATGTGAGCATGCTGCCACCTAGTGTCAACTTGTCTTTCCAACAGTTCAGAGGAAACATTTTTATAGACRTCACAGAAACAATAACTTTATGACCAACATGGGCAGAGAATAGTTACTTCTGTTTATAAAACATTATTATTTCATCAAATGGAAAAATGTTAGTTGTCATAAAGTGAAGTGTGTTAGATGATCAGTCTGTTTTTAAACTGCTGAAAATATCATTGTTCATGACTGAACAGAAAACTGAGTGGAAACAAGTCACTGAASGAACTGATGTCAGACACAAAGCAGAAATGAAGGTGTTGCCRTGAAAAGATATTTCTGGTCATTTTAATATTAAAGTTTGTTCCTCTTCTTTAAGTCACTTCTTCATGTGTTGAAATTAAGGTTGAACWCAGTTTGGAGGAAGATAATTTCTCTGCAGACTTCATGAGCACATAAAGTAAGTCAGTTTACTGATAGTTTACTCAAGGTTAATATTTTTGTTTTATTTTAATAATTTAATCATTATCATTATTTCGTAGTTAATATTTGTGGAAAGCAGGTTTGTCGTTGCAGTGACGTTGCTTTTTGTCATTCAGTTAAAAAAGTGTTTTAATAATTTTGAATTATCTTTAAAATCAGCTTTTAAGATATCTTTAAAACACTTCMTGATGTGAAAATTCCCCTGAAACCACAGATTTCAACTTCTAATACAAAAACATGTTTGTTTTTTGATGTGAACCTTCCATTAACATTTCTTAATCCCAGAAATTATAAATTAAATGACATTTTGCAAATTATTTAAACACACTAAAACTGACAAGCTTGAATTTAACATTCATTTTGAATTTATATCTGACAATATGTCAAATGAACTAAACGTTTTTTTTTCTGTGAACTCTAGACTATTAAACTTCCTCCTGACAAGATGTGTGGAGCTCTGACTTTACTTCTCATCACCTGTTTGCTGCAGGGTGAGTTAACATCTGACATCTGTTTTAAATGGAAGGTTTTGGAGCTTTTTATAAGCTTTCTGTATTTATTGTAGATAATTTAAATGTTTTATGACTGAAGCTGGAGACAAAACAAGTTTTACATCAGTAGTTGAGTCTTTGCTGAATGAAGTAAACTTAAAATGTCTCCGATCATGATTTTAAAGCATGTGGAGTTGGAGAGAAGTATTCATACATACATGTAAAAAAAATCTGATAAAAGATTTTCAAGAAATTAAAATCTTAATATGGTTGCATTAGTTTTTTTCCAAAATCTGTGTTTTGTTGTTTCAGGTTCTCGGTGTCAAGCCTACAATGTCTCTTTGCTGCAGAATGTAGACGTTATAATTGGATCCTGTGTGACCGTCCCTTGCTCGTTTCAGGTGGAAAGTGAAGAAAAATTAAGTGACCAATGTAAAGCAATATGGCATCTAAAGTCAACCAAAGCTCCTAAACTAACTGAAACAAATCCACTAACAGGAAACCTAGCAAAGAAAAACTGCACCACCACCTTCAGCAATGTGCAGCATAAACACAAAAACAAATATTATTTCAGACTGGAATGTCCTGGAGACCTAAAATTTAGTTTTAAGGATTCGAATGTGAATATTAACGTCACAAGTAAGTTTTATTACCATTTAAAAAAATTTAAAAGTGAAAAAAAAAACATGAAGCAATTAAAACTGGGCAGTCTGTTATATTGCTTTTAACAAGTTTATTAAATAAAAAAAATAAAGTTGAACTTTTCTCCCAGATGCTCCTCCATCACCAACTCTGACTCCGCCCACACTGAAGGTGAAGGAGGGAGACTCGGTGAGTCTGAAGTGCTCGGCTCCAGCTCCCTGTCTGCCTCATCCTCCAACTCTGACATGGACCCCCAGAGTGGGGGACAGTCACGAGACCCTACAGAAAAATCAGGACCAAACTCACGTTAGGACCTCTGTTCTGAGCTTCACTGCTTCTGTCCACCATCATGGACAGAAAATCTCCTGCACAGCTGTCTACAAGAAACAAGATGGAAGCCCTGATGCTGGGGTAACTGCAAGTTTAACAGCAAATATTTCATGTAAGTTCATTTATCTTCCAATATTTAAAAAATGGAATTATTATTTCTACATAAAAATAATATTTGTATTTGTAGAGTAGTCTTTTCCTTTCTGCAAAACTATGTTGGCTTATACATTCAAACCTCACTCTATTGTTACTATTTATGTTAACAAGCAAATGTATTTTGCATGTTTTTAAATCTTTAAAGAAGATATTTCTTTAATGTTTGCATTTAGTTTGTACTCTCAGTATCTTTCAAATTAAATCAAACATTTTCAAACTGTATTTATAACATCTAGTCTGAATAGGGTTCAGGTTCATGACAGACTTTTGGAACAGTGAGGTGACTTTTCAATTTGCTGTTTTGTGTTAAAACAACAAAAGATTGTCAGTGTATGGACTTCCGGGGATGCAGTGCGATTGAGCAGACGTGCCCGACAGGAGCTCTCAACTTATCCGTTAATATGATAAAAAAACAACAACGCTAAACCAAATCGTAGACTGGGTAAATAAAGTCTGGGGGACAGGTATTGTGGAATGGATTCACGACTTCGAAACAAAGACCGAAAGAAAGATAAGAAGGACGAAAAATTTGCTGCTAGCAAAGAAGAGGTAGCCAAAGCTAACTCCTGCCGAAGCGAGACTGACATGGCGGCTCGGGACATGAGTTCAACTCCGGACGAAGAGGAAGATACCCAGTCCGGGGGAGTACTTCCGAGTGTGCTCAAGGAAATACGAGAATTAAATAAGAGTCTCTCGGAGAAAATTGACTTGAGTTCAGCACAGC